TGCATTCCAGACACCCCTCAAAGGAGATGGTCCACCCATCAGCTGCACCCAGTTGGGATTTAACAAGATCAAGAAGTAAAAGTCTATGGTGTTTGAGGTATCATGCATGTCGGGGGCTGCTTGTTACAGCAGCCAATGTCACTCTGCCTCCTGCAATCCACTCTGCATTTCCCAGCTTCTCTATAAATTATTCCACTTCCTGTACCCACCAATTCCACTTCCTTGCCTCCAACTCTCATGTCAACCCCATGCCTGTCTGGATTTCACCCCATAATCCGCAGCAAGCCCTCAAGCCAGTCATCAGAGAAGTCCTTATTGCTATACCCAGAAGGTCCTCCCGGCAGCACCTGACATCACCGATGACTCTGTCAAATGCTTTCTCCTCCAGCTTTGGAATACCATACTGTCCTAGCTTTCATACCTCACTGGTTTTCCCTCTCACTCTCTTTGGCTGGTTCTTCCTCTCTTCCTGACCTCTGAAAATCAGAGACCTGAGGCTCTGCCTCAATCTCACCCCTTTACTATGAAAGGTCACTTCTCAAGTTCATCCATCCCTGACTTGAAATACCCTTTGTGCCCTACTCATTCCCAAGTTGCTCCCTGACGACACCACCTGGCTGGTTCACCGACATGCCAAGCTCATCACATCCAAGGCTGAAGATTTCTTCCTGGTAAATTTGCTGCTCCTAGCTGGGTGTGGTGGAGCACGGCTATAATCCCAGCACTCGGGAGGCTGAGGCAAGAGGACTGCCATGAGTTCAAGACCAGCCTTAGCTACATAATGAGACCCTGTCTCCAAACAAACGAAAAAATTGCTTCTGCTCTGGAGGCTTTCCATCTCTTGCCACCCACCGCACCATACCATGGGTTTACCCTTTCCCTCCACTCTCAGAACCAACCTGATCCAAAACCCATCAACATTCCCGCAGCCCACCCAAGCACTTCTCTCCCTCCCCCCAGGCCAGAGCCAACCACCCTCATCACTGCATGCATGGATGACCCCCAGCCTTCCAGGGGACACCTCCTTCCATCCTTGTCCTCTTTTCAGGCTGTTCCCCTCAACAGCCATGGGGGAATTTAAAAACATAAGTCAGATGTATCACTCCTCTCCTCCACCCCTACAAGGGTCTGCGGGTCCTGGCCCCATAGCTGTTCACACTGCCATGCGCTCACCCTGACCATAGTGGCCTCCTGGCTGCTTTTTGAGCTGACCAGCGCATGCCCAGCCCAGGGCCTTGCACAGCTCTACTCTCTCCCAGGGGAAGCTGCACACTTTGCCCCAACCTATTCGAGTCTCTTGCAATGGCACCTGCATAGAGAGGTCTTCTCTGACTGCCTTGCCCAGTGCAGTCCCTCACAGTGGAAGTCCACCCCTTTCACTGCCTTGTTGCTCCCCATGGAAGCATCACTACTATCCTTGCATTTTATCACTTGTCCACTCACTTCATGCCTCCCCCATGCATGTCTTTTCCCTGAGCATGAGATGGGGTAGGAAATTACCACATGCTTCCTGCCATGTTCCCAGGGCCTTGACCAGCAGCTGATGCATCATCAACATGCAGTACAGTCTGGTCAATGAATCAATGAATAGATCTTCACATTAATGAGAAAAGTGAGTTTAGCAACCTCCAAAGATAAAAGAAATGACTGCACCCATGAAACAAGAAGTGGAAATTAGGAAATGGGCAGAACCAGAACAGGAAGACCCAAATAATGATTTTTGTAATGAAAATGATAATATCTGGCATTAAAATGTCCAGGACTTTGGCTATAAAATCTTGGTAGAAGGGCTAAAAACCAAAGCAAATTCAACTAAAGAGTACCTTGGTGAGCTGGACCTTGGAAGTGAATATCCCCAACATAGAGACTGTTAATTCCAACCAATTATAGCTTAAGTGTTGTACAACTTAAGTATTGGCTCATTAATTAATTTACTAATTAATTCATTCAATTCATACTTACTGAGCACATACTATGAAGCATTGCTCCAGGTGATAGGGATAGCCATTGGCCCCACTTGCAAGGAGTTCACAGTTTAGTGGTGAGAGATGAGACACAAATAAGATCAATAAGCTGTGGTTGATGGTGCTAAGTCCAGTGGAAAAGACAGAAGCAGGCAGTGGATTAAGGAATGCCTAGAGGAGGAGCAGTGAGAGTCTGTAGAGGATGGTCAGGGACATACTTGCCGAGGACAAGACTCTCCAACAAAAACTTGAAGGAAATGTGTCACAAGATCTCTGGGAGAAGAAGGCTCCTAGCAGGAGGAACAGCAAGTAAAAAAGCTCTGAGGCAGAGACACACCTGACACATTCAAGGGACAGCATGGAAGCCAACAGGACTGGTGTGAGGACAGTAAGAACAGGAGGAGATGAATTTGGAGAGGCAATGGCAGGCCCAAAATGTCATTGTAAAGACCAACTCTGAGTGAGATGAAGAGACACTGCCAGGTTTTAAGCACAATGGAGGGAGGTCAATGGAGGGAGGAAAATGGAGGGAGACCAGTGGAGGGAGGACAATAGAGGAAAGACAGTGGAGAGAGGAAAATAGAGGAAGGACAACAGATGGAGGAAATGGAAGGTCAATGGAAGAGGCCAATGGAGGGAAGTCAATGGAAGGAGGAAAATGGAGGGAGGGCAATGGAGAGAGGAAAATGGAGGAAGGACAATGGAGAGGGGACAATGGAGGGAAGCCACTACAATGACCATGGGACACATCTGGCTTAGGCTAAGATTGTAGCAGTGAAGGAAGTGAGATATGTCCATGCCTTTGGCAAGCTTTGAAGGTCAAGCCAACAGGATTTTCTGGCCAATGATATGGGATACAACAGGAAGAGAGGAATCAGAGATGAGTCCAGGATATTGTCTGAGCAGCTAAAAGGTCAGAAACTCCAAAAGCTGAAATGAGGGATCAGCCAGAAAAGTGTGTTTGAGGGGAGCTTGGCTCTGACTATGCTAAGGTGAGATATTTAGGAGGCACCTGAGTTGGGCAGTGGGATTGAAAGTCAAGCATTGCACAAGGAGACCCAGGCTGAAATGCAAAATGATCACATGACAGAGAAGATAGAGAGAGAAAAAGACCAAGGAGAGAGCTCTGTGCCCCCAACATGAAGAGTGAGGAGGACAGGGAGAACCGACCAAGGAGACTGAAGAGAATCAGACAAATCCTGGGGGCCCAGGGAAGGGAGTTTTTAGAGAGGAGAAGGATCAGACACTGATAGCTCAAGGAAGAGGAGGACTGAAAATGCCACCGACCCCAGCAGCACCAAGGCCACTAGCAATTATGGGGTGTCAGGGCAGGAACTTGATTTGAAGGACTCAGAAAGAGAATGGGAGATTAATGTCAATAATACATTGATAGACTCTAGCTGTAGATAAAAGCAGAAAAGGGGGTAGCTGAAGAGGGGTTCAAAGAAAGGGGGACTCTTGAGAGGACTGGAGAAAACCTGCCCATTTTTACAGAGATGAGAATTATCCAGTAGAGAGAAATAGACAAATGCCAGTGAGAGAGCGGAGACGTGAGCCTGCGAGGGGTGGGCCCCAGGCACACTGTGAGGGTTGGTGTGGATGAGCCAAGCACAGATAGGACAAGGGAAGGCAGAATGTGGGGCACTGAGGCAGGTGGGATGCTCAGAGAATTAGACCTCTGGCAGGCATCTGACAGCTTCTATTTTCTTAGTGAAACAAGAAGCAAGCCCATCTACTGAGAGAGACAGGATGGAGGAGGAGGTGGGAGGTTCAAAGAGAAGAGATGGCACGAAATAGCTCCCAGTTGTGTGTGCAAATGTAAGGGTAACAAAAATAAAATGTAAACTTTTACAGTATCATGCCAAGACAGAAGAAAAATAGACCAAGAAAACTCAGTGGAAAATAGGAACAAGGAAAGAAAGATTTAAAGGGAAAATATGGTAAAGAAGAAAGCATACCATAATTCAAACATGTCAGTAATCACAATAAATGTGAACAGGTTAAAATTCTAATCAAAACTCAGGGACTTTTCTTTGGATGTTTTACAAAAGGAGATGAATGTACCTTACCTGGACATATTTACACCAAAATGTGAACAATAATGGTCACTAGTTGATGAGTTTAACAGTAATTTTTATTTTTGTTAAACTTTTCAATGATTTCTGAATTTCTTGGGAGGTTGTAGATTACACAATCAGAAAAAAATGGAAATTCTTGTATAACCACCCACATACTTCAGTATGTCTTCATTTGCTGTCCAAATAAGTGCTAGGATCCAAAGAGGCTCTAAGAAAGGTTCCTATTCTCCAGGAACTGGCTGGACATAAGACCATGGGATCATAATAAAAGAGTGCAGTCCATGTGACAATCAGGCTCCCCCGCTGACTTTAAGCCCCAGAGAGGAAAGGAATAAGCAAGGAGAGCCACCTGGAGGAGGAGGCACATGTAGCATGCAGGATGTGGGCCAGTCTGAGCCTGGAGGTGGCATTCTAGGCTATGGGCACAGCACAAGCAAGGGAGGAGCATAGCGAGCCAGCACACGAGCAGCAGGGTGGGAAGTGTGGATGAGGTGGGTGCAAGGTTCAGGGAGACAAAGAGGCTGTGGCTGGTGAGCTGTGCAGAAGGGCAAAGGGAAACAAGGGGGGAGCAAAGTAAGATGAGAGGAGTCGTTCCTGCTGTGGACACCTTGTGTCTAAAGCACAAAAAACAGGCCGGGTGTGATGACACATGCCTGTAATCCCAGCACTTGGGAGGCTGAGGCAGGAGGATCACCAGGAGTTCGAGGCCTATGTGGGCTACACAGTGAATTCAAGGCCAGCCTGAACTGTATAGAGAGACCCTGTCTCAAAAAAAAAAAAACACCTGGGTGGGGGATTTAGCTCACCACCACCTGCCTTGCAAGCGCAAGGTCCCAAGTTCGATCCCTGTACAAAAAAAAAAAAGCACCTGTGGATGAACAGCTGGGGCCACTCATTGTTGCACTGCACATACATGGACATAGTGCACATATGTTAGCACACATGCACACACACACACACACACACATCTACCGCTTCATGTTCTCTGGCTCTTTAGCCTGGAGACTGTCACAGCCAAAGGCACTCTCTTGGCCTAGTCTGGCCTCCCTGACTCTGTCCAGCATGCACTGTGGCTGGCCACTTCCCCTGGTGAGGCATCACCAGCTGTTCTGGACCCAGATCGCCCAGCTCTTTAGGAGGATTTGGCACACAGTTATGTCAGAGGGACAGGAGCAGAGATAGGAGCCTGGCAGGGGAAAGCAAGGAGGGAAAGACCCTTAGGAAGCCAGCAATCTTGGCCACTGGGGGGACAGAGCAGGGAGGAGCAGGAGACAGGAAAGGTGACATTGGTTCCAGGCAGAAACCCAAGGTCGGAGGTCATAGCTCTGGCACAGCTTCTAGGGGGAGTACATTTGGGAAGGGGCAGAGATATCAGGCTGGCTTTGGGCAGTCTGAAATCAAGGGGTCCACAGGGCATCTGGGAATGTCAGAAACCCCCAACCTGAGGCTCAGGAAAGGGTTACAGCAAAGCTGGTGACTAAACTGAACCCCGCAGGCTGCAAGCCTTGGGAACCCATGGTATCAAGCTTGAGGCTCAAGTCAGCCTGGAGATTAGGGGAATGCCTGCCCACCTTCTCCTGGGTAAGCAGGACAGGCAGCCCCAGCACCTGCCACCCCAGGAGCAGCACCCAGGCTCACCCATGGGGGGCGGAGGTGCTGGGATTACACATTGGCATCTCTCTTCCTTCAGAGCCAGTTAAACTTTGTCTAAGAAAATGATTGCTAAATTCTCTTCCATAAGTGGCTCCTGGTCACACTTTAATCCTCCTCTCCCCCTAAATTCAGCTGTTGCTGAAGGTCGGGGCAATCACAACTGGCAGAGGGTCACAGCACAGGCTCAAGTGTCAGCTGGAGCTGCCCTTCACTGGGCAGATGCTCTGTGAAGCTAGGAGCCCCTGACATGCTCCTAGCTGCCCAGCTGAGAAAGACAGTGTGGGCAACACCATAGGAGACACAGGCTTGTCACATTGGGCCTGTGGCCCTGAGCTGGCCTCTGTGAAGTGGCCCCTCCTCAGCCCTCAGCAGGCCCCATGGCATTTCCTGAGCTCTTGGATCAAGTTGGCAACCTGGGTAGGTTCCAGTTTGTCCAGACGGTGGCTCTGGTGGTCCCCATCTTGCATGTCACCGCCCAGAACATGCTGGAAAACTTCTCCACTGCTGTGCTCAGCCACCGCTGTTGGGTGCCCCTCTTGGACAACAGCACCACCCAGGATAGTGTCCCTGGGACCCTGGACACCGAGGCCCTCCTGGCTGTATCTATCCCGCTGGGCCCCAACCAGCGGCCCCACACGTGCCGCCGCTTCCGCCAGCCACAGTGGCAGCTCCTGGACCCCAATGCCACAGCCGCCAACTGGAGCAAGGCTGCCACGGAGCCTTGTGTGGATGGCTGGGTGTATGACCACAGCACCTTCACCGCCACTGTGGTGACCAAGGTAAGGGCCGCCAGGCACCCACTCCAAGTTCTGGCATCTTGGAGGTCAAAGTCACAGGTCAAAATTGGCTGCACACAAATGGTCTTGTTCTGGGATTCTGTGCCTCCCTCACCCCCGGGTTGGCTCGAAGCCCCTTGCCAGCCATGTGTCCCACAGGGGAAAGGGTGGAAGGACTCGGTCTCCAGAGATCACCTGAATGCAGGCTCCACTGACATCTTGCACAAGGTCCCGGCTGGCTGACACTGATCTGTGACCCCTGTTAACTGAGTCACTGGGGACTGGATTATTCACTGGGCTCCCCGAGGCAGGGACAAATCCAAGTGGCTTCTGCGAAGGGGCATCAACCAAATCTGGGCCAGTGGGGAGGAGCAGCTTGTTCCAGCAAGCGGGAAGGGGCCTCTTTGTAAGAACAGAAGGGAATCAACCTGTGGGGAGGAGAACAGAGTCAGCTCAGGTGACCCCTGCATACTGGGCAAGGAGGGGAAGAGGGCAGAGGGGCAGAGAGGGCTTGACACAGGCCGGTTAGGCAACAGGAAGCCATGAGGGGGCTTAGACCAGGAGCAATGAGATACTTCTCAAGAGACCCGGCTACTTCTGCAGTGTCCTTGCTGTCCCACAGGGCCCTGCTCTGACGCCAGAGGTTGTGTCCCTGGGGTCTGTCCCCTCCCCCTACCACCTAGGGCCTCCCAGCCTCCTTAGCTCTCTGCCCCTTCTCTTCCCACAGTGGGACCTGGTGTGTGACTCTCAGGCCCTGAAGCCCATGGCCCAGTCCATCTTCCTGGCTGGGATCCTGGTGGGTGCCGTGGTGTGTGGCCATGTCTCAGACAGGTGAGCACCACAGTCATTGGCACTCTCCCCCGCTTTTTTTCCCCTGTCCTGGGGATTAAACCCAGGGCCATTCACTGAGCCACATTCCTATCCCTTTTTCCATTTTTAAATTTTGAGACAGGGTCTGGCTAAGTTACTAAATTGCACAGGCTGGGCTGGAACTTGCAATTCTGTCTCCACCTTCCAGACTGCTGGGATTACAGGCATGTGTCACCATGCCCAGAATCTCTCCCTGTCTGAGCCACAAATTCACTTTACTCTGGGGTTGTAGAGCATCCTTGTTTCTTGTCAAATATTCACTGGCAATACCTGCTGAGTGGCTGGGCATGGTAGTGCATGCCTGAAATCCCAGCACTCTGAAAGGCTGAGGCAGGAAGATCACAAATTCCAGACCAGACTAGGCAACTAGGGGATTTATTGAGACCCTGTCTCAAATAAACAAACAAAACCTGCTGGGCCATGAACATGTCTTCAAAGTTGCTTGAGTACTCCTGGGGATGAGGAACTCACTTCCTGCTCAGCAAGCCTTCGGAATGGATCCTGGGTTCTCTCTATGCTCACGGACTTCTATGGAGGACAACATGGGTCTGACTTGAGGTGCAGCAAGCACAGGGTGGGCTCTCAGTGGCTCAGTTCCCTGTGGCTGGCCAATGTGCATGTGTTACAGGTTCGGGCGCAGGATGGTGCTGACATGGAGCTACCTTCAGATAGCCCTGTCGGGCACCGTGGCTGCCTTCATCCCTACCTTCTCACTCTACTGCCTGTTCCGCTTTCTGGCAGCCTTCGCGGTAGCAGGTGTCATGATGAACACGACCAGTCTCTGTAGGTCCCTGGGCGGGTGCCATGCAGGGAAAGCACTAGGCGGGCCCTGGGCCTGACCTCTGGGTCTCCTCGTAGTGATGGAGTGGACGTTGGCTCAGGCCCACCTCTTGATGATGACCATGAACTCTCTGGGCTTCAGCTTTGGCCAAATCCTGATGGCCGCAGTGGCCTATGGCCTGCGTCACTGGGCACTGCTGCAACTGGCCCTCTCTACCCCTTTCTTCCTCTGCTTTGCCTATTCATGGTAAGTGTTGCACCCTCTCCCCATGGAGGAGGAGACCTTGTCCTCTCCTGGGGACCTGGTGTGGAAGCCCCCTTTACCTGGGAGTAGAGGCCCTAGGTGCCAGAGACCAGGGTTGTGGAGCTGGAAGAGGGCTCCAGGAGCCTGGCACAATCCTCCCGCCCAGGGCACAGGCATCCCAGATGCATCCCTGTGCCCAGGTGTCCCTTACTGCCAGGCCCAAGACGCCACCACGCTATGACCCCCATAGCACACAGCAGGCACAGGCCACACTCTCCCTGGAGGTCTCAACAGCCAACAGCTCCAAGTCCCTCCAACGCTACAGATCCCAAGTCTTCTCTGTCCTACCCACCTCCAGCCTCATGTCACCAACTGCCTGCCAAACACCGCCTTACTGGTATCTCAGCCCCACAAACACCTGCTCCCCCCACCCCAGACCTCCTTCCCTGCTTCCCTCAAGGCTTCCCCAAAGAGGCACCAGCCCCCCTAGATGCTGAGCTAGGTGGCCCCAACACTTCCCTCTCCCACGCTGCCCCCAAAGTCTGACAGCCCAAAGGGGTTTGTCAACTCTCATCTGCACTTGGATCCTCTTTTTCCCCCTCCTACAAACACAGAAGGAGCTAGGCACCCAGGGGATATGACCCCAGTTGCCCCACCTTGCTGCTGTTCACATGGGACAACATGTCCTGCTGGGGACCTCCATGAGCACAGGGCCAGAGGAAGGACCAGTGTCAAGGGGCAACAGGGGAGCCAGGCAGCTGCATGGGACAGTGCACGGGGGCTAGTTGGATGTTGGGGGTCGTGGAAGCCAGGTTAGTGTCAAGCAGCTGTGTTTACTACAGATGCATGAGGACCATCAGACACAGGGGTCTAGAGACATTGGCACTGGTGGCCATTTGGGTGCAGATAGATGACTAGGGATGTCACAGAGCCTCTTCCTGGTGACCAGGTGTAGGGTAGCAAGAAGATGCAGCTGTGGGGTAGACAGGAGGACTATGAGACATAGGAGGTACCAGGACAGTAGTGGACACTAACAGCGTTGTGGCATTGACGTCTATAGCCATAGTGGAGGCTTACTGCACCCAGGTGTGGCCTGGCTCCCAGGTGAGGCAAGGAAAGGGCCATGGGGCAACAAGGAGGAGGCAAGGGGATAAGAGAGTCCCCATCTCCCCAGCAGCCTGCTCAGGGACAGGAGAACATGGGGCCCCAACTGCACCCTCAAGGAGAAAGGAGGCAGGAGGGGCCACCTGGAAAGGTGGCCACACTGACCAGGCTGCAGACAACTTCAGTGCCCTTCACCACCAGCTGCTTATATCCTCAGTGCCCTGAGCCTGGCCTGTGCACATTGAGACAGGGAACAAAGAAGGGACAAAGAGACGAAGGCTGGTGTAGGCCAGGCCCTGGAGCCACAGGGAGTGACCTCTTCATGGTCCCACTCCTGGTGGCTGCCAGAGTCGGCACAGTGGCTGCTATCCATGGGCAAAGTGGACCAAGGCCTGCAGGAGCTGCAGAGGGTGGCCTCCATCAACCGGAAGAGGACAACAGGGGACACCCTGACCAAGGAGGTGAGGTGGGGCCAGGCCCTCCCCCAACCCCTCCCCTCAGCTCTCTCCCTGACCCTGCTCAGAGCCTCAGCTCCTCCAGGATGAGGATCTCTGGGAAAGGGCTACTGGGAATCCCAGGGCCAATGCCACCCTACCCCACAGGCCTTGCTCTCAGCCATGCAGGAGGAGTTGAGTGGGCCTCAGGCTTCTGCCAGCCTGGGTACCCTGTTCCACATGCCCGGCCTTCGCCTCCGGACCTGGATCTCCATGCTATGCTGGTAGGTGCCTGCCCACACCTCCCAGGGCCTCATCTGCCTCAGGCCACTGCAGGAGAGAGAGATGGGGATCTGGGCTGGGCTGGCCTCCTACAGCACAGCCCCCATCGCCTCTAGTCCCACAGGAACCACCAGGCCAGGGGGCTCCCTGAGGGGGTTGTAAGGGGCCAGGCAGATAAGATTCATGACCAAGACCAAGGTGCTGGCTGACCTGCAAGGTAAATGGGACAGGGAGCAATCAAGGAGCCTCAGACAGGCACAGGCACCCATCAGAAGGCTCTGGGAGGCAGTGGGGGTACTATGAGAATTCAGGAGCCTGGGCTACCCAGCAAAGACCAAAGCCACTGCAGCATGGAGGGAGGCTGGAGCCATGGCAGGACATGGCCACTCCCAGACAAAGCAACCAAAAGGAGAGGGAGACACCCCTGGCTTCTGCCTCCTCCACCTGGGTCTGCACTCCAGCTTTTCACCAACGCTTCCCATTGACCAACCTGAAAAGGAGCCCGTTTGGCAAATGGGAAATGAAGTCACAGGACAACAGGAAAAGAACAGCCCTAACCCCAGCCCCACCCTGTCCCCACCCAGGTTCACCTTTGGCTTCACCTTCTATGGCTTGGTCCTGGACCTCCAGGCCCTGGGCAGCAGCAACATCTTCCTGCTCCAGGTGCTCATTGGGGTCGTGGACATCCCCACCAAGATGGGCACCCAGCTGCTGCTGGACCGCCTGGGCCGCCGCCCCACACAGGCCAGCTCCCTGGTGCTATCTGGGCTCTGCATCTTGGCCAACACGCTGGTGCCACATGGTGAGCGGCATGAGCACCCAAGGGTAGCTTCCCTACCCACAGGGTCAGGGTCAAGGCCAGAGACCCTGGGTCCCCTTCACGGAGAGTTCGGGAGCAGAGCAGCAGCCTGGCCAGCAAGAGCCCTGCTGGGGGCTGTGGCTGTGCTGGGCAGGTGGCAGTGGCCATAGAGTCTGGGGACAGGATGGGGGATGTGTGTGCCAAAAAAGAACTGTGATGGATTTCAGCAGGAAAGGGTGGGTGCGCTGAGGAGGACCCCAAAGTCTGGCTCTGGGCGGGAACAGCTTAGAAGTATGGTCAGAGTCACTTAGGGTGCAGTGTGGGGTCTGGGACCCCCAAGTGGAAACATTTTGCAGGCTTGGAGTGCAGAGAGAAGCCCCTGGGATAAAGGGATCCCCCACTGCCCCTGGGACTCCGGATGCCAACCCTGCTGACCTGTCTCTGTTCGCAGAGATGGGGCCACTATGTTCAGCCCTGGCTGTTCTGGGGCTGGGGTCACTGGGGGCTGCCTTCAGCTGCATCACAGTCTACAGTGGAGAGCTCTTCCCCACTGTGCTCAGGTGAGGCTGCCCTGGCTGGGGCGGGGAGGGGCAGGGCCTCCTAGACTCCGATGCTTGAGATGGTGTCTCCCTTCCATGTGACCCAAGTCTGTCCAGCCAGGACTGATACCTGGGGCCTCGCTGGACCAAGTGGGGCTGGACCCTGGTAGAAGGCCAAGGGCCGAGAAGCGACTCTTCACAGGTGCATCTGCCCCAGCAGGATGACAGCTGTGGGCCTGGGCCAGATGGCTGCCCGTGGAGGAGCCATGCTGGGGCCTCTGGTCCGGCTGCTGGGCATCCACAACCCCTGGTTGCCCCTGCTGGTGTATGGGGTGGTGCCAGTGCTAGGTGGCTTGGCTGCACTGCTGCTACCTGAGACCCAGAATTTGCCACTGCCTGACACCCTCCAAGATGTGCAGAACCAGTGAGTGGACCACCCTGGGGCCCTCTCCTTCCCTGCCTCCCTGCTTCTTTCCTTGCCTCTCTTCCCCCAGAGAACCCCCGAACAATCTGGTCTGGGTGTCCCCTCCCCATTCCAGGTGAGGGGGAAGTAGAAACCCAGAGAGGGATAGGACCAGCCCAGAGTCACACAGCAAAACCACGGGAGAGTGGAGGTGCAGGGCTGAGTCTCTGTGGTTTTACCTTCTGCCCTTCATCCCACCACAAGAAGCCCAAATGGCCCAGCCAACCCAGCTCTGCCTTAAGAGGGAATGAGTAGGAGAATGTGTGGGTGTCAGCCCTCTGGCAGGGGAGGTGCAGGGTATGCTAGCTGGTGTTGTGGTCCTCACTGGCCCCACTAAAGCCCAGGTGTCTGATATGGCTGTCACTGCCCAGCCCACCCCCACCATATGCTCAGGAGGCTCAGTCCTGAGCAGGTGGCAGGATCTCCGGAGTTCGAAGGATGGGAAAAGGTCAAGGGTCAGAGGTCACTCAGCACTCTGTGACACACCCTGCACTGTCATTCCTGAACAGGGCAGTAAAGAAAGCAACACACAGCACACCAGCGCCCTCCGTCCTGACATCCACACGACTCTAGCCTCCTACAAGCTCACAATTCAGTGAGGAGGAAGAGGAGGTACCTTCTGGAGAGAACAGAGGTACTTAAGGAAGGCCTCCAATTCCAGGGCCCCAGGGCTGCCCTCCCCTGGTACTCCTCACAGTCAGGAGCCCCCTCTAGCACAGAAATGGCAGGAATCTGCCCCGTGCACTGTCACCACCCTGACGTCCCCAAGCTCCATGGCTGCCAGGTCAGAAGGCACCTCTCAATGCTCTCCAACCACTGCCCACTGGGCCCAGGGCTCGGAGCTGACTGCCACCTCTCCTGGCTCAGCACAAACAACAAAAGTCTCGACCCCTCAGTGTCATCCCTGGCCTGTGGCAGCCTGGCCCAGCCACTTTGGCCCATGGCTACCCTCAGCTTGGCTACGTGCCCTGCCTGCAGTTCTTCCCCACCTCCACCCTGACACTCCTTCCAGGGCGCAGGGCCGGCCCAAGACCCAGTGACTCCCTGACCCATGGTCACAGCCACATACTGTCTTCACCCACCCACCTGCCAATGAGTTCCCAGAGTGCCAGCTGGCCACATCTGCATGAAGGATGTAATAAAGAGTGAAGAATGGGACAAAGCATAACTGTCGCTCAGTGACACCAGCAAGGGGGCCCCAGGATCTCCCCTGGGGTGGGGGGAGGAGAGTACTGAGGCCTTTCCCAGGCCAGCTTTCCCATAGCATGTGCCAGGCAGAGGCACCACGCTGGGCTCCTCAGAGGACCAGCTCATTTCCCCTGAGCCCAGTGGGGTAGAAGCTGCCTCATTTTACAGACAGGATGACTGAGGCTCAGAGAAGCTTATGGTCCTGACATACAGCTAGGAGGAGGCAGGATCAGGACTCGGGCCCTGGAATGTAGCTCTGCAGGGTGGATCTCTGATCACAATGCCCTGGACCACCCCAGCCTCACTGCCCGGGCAGACAGGGATGCTTCTTGAGAGTTCCAGCAGGGCCTCCTCACGCCTCCCAGAAGGATCCAGGGCCCCACAGAGTCCTCTGCACCCTCAAGGGAAAGGCAGCACGGTGCTCTGCAGAGCCACTGCTCCAGGCAGGAGGTACATGCAGGGTCTTCACCAGCTGGGCCCCCAGAGGCGAGGCACTCCTGTATCATGTGTGCACACACATGCACACATGCAGAAAAGTCAATGGGAAACAGGAGGCCCTGGCTCCCAGGGAACAGGATCCCCACACCTCCCTGGTCTTGTCAGCTGTAGCCCCTGGCCTCCAGGGCCATGTCCTTTGGCCATTTACCTATGGCTAACTTCAGTAAAGACCCCTGGACCAAGAGGACAGAAGTAGGGCTCATTACCAGGTGTGGTGGTGCACACCTATAATCCCAGCACTTGGGAGGCTGAGACAGGAGGATCACCATGAGTTCAAGGCCAGCCTGGATTACATAGTGAGTTCAAGATCAACCTGGACTACACAGAAAGACCCTGTCCCAAAAAAACAACAGCAACAACAACAAAAAACAACTAGAAAAAAAAAGTAGAGCCCATATGCAAAGACTCCCCAATACAAGCCTATCTGCACATGCTGGCTTCTGTTCTGTATTGCCCACTGCCTGGCTGACAGCAGCTGTCTTTCCTAGCTTCCTTGCACATTCTTGGGGCCCCGAGGTGTCCAGAAACTTCCAGAAGGCAGAACCCAGAGGAACCCAGAGGGAAAATGGCCCCAGCTCTCCCCCAGGATGTCCCTCCTACTCACCAAGCAGGCCAGGCTGTCTCTCCACCCACATTCAGAGTGGCCATGCTCCTGGTCTTTCTAGGTGGTACAACCTTCCAGGACCCAGGGTTTGTTTTTATGTCATCCCTCTACTAACTGGACAGGGCTGGTCACTGAAGGCCGCTCTGGGGAGTGAGCAATGTCACTATGGCCAAGCGTGTACCCTAACCATGGCAGGCCTCCCCTAGGGACACATCCTCTTTCGAATGGCCACCATGGGGACTCCTGATAAGCTGCTGGTGACCCCACCATGGAGAGGTCAAGGGGAATGGGTATAGGACAGAGGGGCCCAGAACTACTAGCTGTCTTATCCCTGTGGAAGCAGCGGTGGGGACTGAGGAAAGGGGCTCAGAATGCTCTGTCCCTCCTCCTGTCCCTATCAAGGCCGAAGCTCACCCCAGTGCTTGTAGCTGAAGGGGTAAAGTGGTCACTTCAGGCTCTGAACCCATTTCCAAGAGGGGAGTTGGTTGATGGGGCAGTTCTTCAAGGACAAAGGGCATCATCCAGACTCCACCTCCAGCTTCCACAAGCATCTGTCATTGGTACTCAAGGTGGAATCTCCTGACACCCCCTGGAGACCTCTGTCAAGCAGCCCAGCTCCAGGGCTCTCAACAACCTCCAGATGCTCTTTAGGCCTCTCCTGGGGTCACTGGCCAGTGAGCCAGACCCTGAGGAGCCCAGTTCAGGACAGGTGCTACACTTAACATCCGATGTGCAATGAGACAGGGCGCCCTGAGTCAGCAGCCACATCTGGGTATCTTTCTTCCTATGACAGAACCCTGGAGCAATGGAGTTCTTAGCCTCCTTGTTCAGAGAGGGAAAAATGGAGTCCCACAGCCACAGGGCCACAGGGACCCAGGCTATCCTTCCAACCCCTACGCTATCCCTAACCTCATTCAGGGACACTCTAAAAATTTCTGGAATAAGATGTTCCTGCCCTTGTGCCCCAGGAACTCTTGTCTACCTGCCTGTTTTCTCTGACCAGTGACCATGGGGGAAAGGGAAACCTGAGATAGCCTTGTCCCTGGGCAGAGACAGTTGCAGAGGGCCTCGGGACAAGGCCATTACCAGCATAAGGACAGGACACCCTGGCAGCTCCACCCCATGAATGGCTCCTCAGACTCCCACAGGTGGTGAAAGGTGACCTCAGGATGCTGACCCCAGGCTCCAAGATGGAGCCACTGGGGGAAGCAGGGATGGAATCTCAACCCCAAGAGGGCAAAGAGAGGCCAAGTTCTTGGAAGTCTATCCTTGGGGATGGCAGGAGACCTGCTCTCTCACTCCGCATAGGACTTTGAAGAACTCTCACAGGGCCTAAGAGAGCACTGTGCTAGGGAGGCCTGGAAGACACAAGCTCTTTTCCAGGATGGAGGGAAAGCAGGTCACAGACAAGCCTGAGCGGGGTTCTGAAGCTGCACAGAGGTGGCAGCTGCCCCAAGGGATAGTCCTCTGCCCAGTGGGACCCTTTGGGGACTCAGGAGTCCGTCCCAAAGCTGTGTCAGGCGTTGGGACTAGAAAAAGCCTCCCTTGAGGATGGGCCACCCGCCAGAGAGGGCAGTGGAGGGTGATGGGCACCAAGACCTCAGGAAACAGCTGGGAGAGAAGGCAGGATCAACCTCTCCAAAGGCAGGGAGGAGCCCTGAGTGACAGCAACGTGGCTGAGTCACATCTCATGTGTCAAGTGCCATGACCACCTGCCATTGCCACCCCTGGGATCCAGACCCCACTACAGCTTCCTCCTGAGTATGCCACACATGTGGGTCCTCAAATATCTGCATCTGCTTCCTGTCACAGAGAGGCTTAACAAACAGCCCTGTTCCTCCACCACAACCCACTCAGGTCTCCACGAAGGTGTCGACTCCACAATGGTTGAGGTGGCAGCTCTGCTTCTGCCTCATCCCAGGAGCTGCTGCAGTCAACCAGGTGGAAATGGAGACAGGGAAGTCCCCAGGCTCCAAGCTCCTGGTGGCACAAGGGAAGGGGCAGAGACTGGAAAAAGAAAGCTGGTAGCAGCTGGGACTCAGCACTGACTCCCGGAGAAGCCCCAAGTCAGCACCTGGTACACAGTCCTCCGAGAAGCCAAAGTACAAGGAACCAAGGCCAGAGGCCAGCCAGGCTCAGCAGCGAGCAAGCTCGAGCGTCTCCTCCTCACCCCCATACTGAGGGCCCTGGGGGTGAGGCAATGCTGCACCAGAAGCCCAAAGCCTCGTTTGAGTTCCAGGGCGACTTACTAGCTCTCTTGGACCCCACACCCAGCACAAAGCCAAGACCAGGGTCCTAAAGGCACCCACCCCAAACAAACTGCACAGGACTGTTGGAATTTGGAAAGTTTTTGTTTTCTTTTTCCCACACATTTCCGGGGGTTGGGGTGTTTTCCAAGACTCAGACACATTTGTTAACAAAGAGAGAAAAAAAACTGGGGGAGCAGGGAGCGCATAGGCCAAGAGGTGACCCCAGCAGTTCACAGACGCCACCTTGCTCCCTCCTTTCCCTGCGCCTGCGCCCAGTGGGTGCCACAGGCTGCTGCTCTGGTATCTAGATTATTTGTCTTTAATATATATCTGCATTTGCCTTTCCCCTCCCCCCACCCCCCACCCCGCTCCTCCAGCAGTTTCCCCAGCAATGCACGTCGCCCGGAGGCACTCAGATCAGGCCTTAGCCAGGCCTGAACCCCTTCCCTGGGCGGCCCCAACGGGGCACCTCTCCTGTTGAGGGGAGCTGGGGCATTGGGGCTCCCCACCCACCCACTGGGCTGCTCCAGGCCCACCCTCCCGCCCTTCTCCCACCAACTCTGGAAACCCAAAAGGAGGAAAGGGAGAAATCAGATATACACACCAAAAAAAAAAAAAAAGAAAAGAAAGCAAAGAAAGAAAAGAAAAGTGGGGAAGTGGGGTGGGGACAGAGAGATACAGCAAGCCTGGGGAGACTAGAGGGTTTGGGAAGAGAAGGAAGGCAAAAGGGACAGAAGCAGGAAGAAAAAAATTTAGGGAAATTAACAAGACACATAGTGGACACTTTACAAAACCCCCAGCCTTCCTTCCCGCCCAACCCCACCAAAATAAAACTCCCCCTCTTAAAAAAATAAATCAACCCAGGGCTGTGAGCTGTGCCCTGACTGGTGGGCACAGCGCCCAGAGGGACAGACAGCCTCGGGGTTGACAGTGCGGTGCCACGGGCAGCAGGAAGAAGGGAACGAGCACGGGGTTATTCCTTTTCCTTTTTCTTTTTTTGCGTTTCCTCTTCTGAGAGAAGCCTGAGGCGGCCAGGGAGAGGGTCCCCAGGCCCCCGGCAGGGAGAGGGCCGCCCCCTCCTCCCCGGGCCGTCCCGGGAGGGGCAGCTGGCAGTGGGGCACGGTGCCGGCTGGGGTTCACACGTAATACTCTTTGTCTTTGTTCTTCTTGGTCTTGCTGGGCGTCTTGGGGGCGGCCGGGGCCTTTTCTTTCACCACTGCCCCGTTGCTCTGGGCCGAGTTACTGATGTAGTTCCGGCTCTGGTCCACCTGGTAGGAGCCCTCGTCACGGTTGCGGTACTTGTACATGGCGTAGAGCAGGATGAGGATGCAGAGGGCCGCCGCCGCGACGATGCCCACCACCATGCCCGTGGTGCTGCTGGACTCCCGGATCACCTCCACCGCGCCCGGCGGGCCCCGCTCCCCCGGGCCCGTGGGGTTGGCTGTGGGCAGAGGGGGGAAGCCGGGAGCTGAGGTCACGCCGGGGCGCAGGGGCGGGGGTCTCCGCGGCTCGAAGGACGTGGGGGCCCCGGGTCCCGGGGGTGGGTTCTCCAGCAAGGGCTGCAGTGGGTCTCGGTGGTTCATTTTGCCCGCTGGCAGGTTGGGGGCCGGGACGGAGGGGGCGAGCAGCACCCCAGGGGCGCCCGTGGCCCCGTCTGTCCTGAGGTTGGGCCGGGGGGCGGGTTTTCGGGGCGACAGGAGGGTGGTGCGGTCCGTGACCAGGGGAAAGGTGGTGTAAAAGTCCTCGTCGTCCGTGGGGGGGAGGCTGGAGTCAAAGACCTCCCCGGAGGCGAAGCCCGAGGCCTCGATGGGCTCCTCGCAGTCGCTGTCGTCGTGCTCTGCCTGGCACGGGCCCCCAGGGGGCGGGCGGCGCGCGGCGGGCGGGGGCAGGGTGTCCTGCGTGGCGCCCACGCCCGGGAGGAAGGGGTAGAAGGTGGGGGGCGGGGGCACGAAGGGGGACCGGGTGGCCACAGGAGGGGGGTCTAGGGAGTCCTCCGTGATAATGGGCAATATTAACTCTCCTCCTAGAACAAGAAAGAGAAGAGAGAAAAGAGGGCGTCAGCGGGGGCCTGGGCGCGGGCGGCCGGCACAGAGAGAGAAACAACAGCCTCACACACCCAAATCGGTTCCAATTGGCCTCGGCGGAGACTAGAGCGGGCCAGGCCCGCCCGCCTGCGGCCGGAGCACTGCGCTTTAAGCGGCAGCGGCTCTGATGCCCTGGGCACCTCACGCGCGGGCTCTGTGACTCTCTGTTTTATTTTATTTATTTATTTATTTATTTATTTATTTATTTATTTATTTATTTTGGTCTTTTGTTTGTCTTAAGAAACCAAAAGGAACAGAAAGGAAAGGAAATCGAAAAGAAACAGAAAAAGAAAAATAACTCTACTGGTTTAAGGCTCTAAAAACAGATACAACAGCAGCATTTAAACAAACCTAACAACAGTATCTTTTAGGGTTTATTTTTTTCTAGATTTTTTCTCTTTTTTTGCTTTTTTTTTTTTTTTTTTTTGCTTTTGTTTTTAAAAAAGAAGATAGCATACCACGGAATTCAGGCAACTTACATCAACAAATAGGCCGTGTGATTTTAGCATGAAGAAAAAAATTACAAACAGAGCTGTGTAAGCGGGTTCTCCCGGAA